ATTGACTGATTACACATTGATATTTGTGTAAATCAAATATATATATATATATATATATATATATATGTGCACGCAACGTTCATAATCATCAACACAATTAACCGTTAAAACAATCTCAATCAGTCCGAAGGATAGTTATCCTTGGACAACAACCGTCAAATCATCTCCGCGTACCCCGGCACACGGGTTCAGGTCATCCACTTACCTGCTCCCTCGTCGAAGATACAAGTAATAACTCGACCCTTTCGGTCTTTACCATCAATATCGTCAATTCATCTCTACGTATGCATTACACACATAGGTCAGGACTCTCCATGTGCATAGCACAACCTCTCCTCTCCTCGGTTATCATCGGAATAATAAAAACACCATCGGTTTTCTGAAAATGTAAACTCATCACCGATCTCCACCTTCTTGATACCGATATAACCCTCTCGATATCAAGACCTGACATCGCCTCCCGACGCCGCCAACTGCAGGGCAGAGCAGCTCTATGCTAACTCCCCCTCGCCGACCATCCGCCGCGGAATTTCTCATCAGGCTCGAGCTCAGCCTTTCAGAGTATTCCGTAACACCTCGTGATCGGGGGTAACACGCAACAACTCGATCACGGGTTTTATTGCCTACTATCGAGGGACACAAGCAACTCCCGATACCGTTCCATGGCCGATGGAACGTTGGCGCAGTTACCGACGAACCGTGTCACCTCCCTACGCATTTGTACTAACTGCATCGTCAACTGGTACAAACTACATGGATTTTTGGCTGCTCTCACCTAGAGATGTCAAAATGGGTCGGATTATACGGGTCGACTCAATCCGACCCACTTATAAACCCAAATAGGTTAGCCCATTTGGTTAATTTTTTAAAATGGGTTACATGGGTTTTGACCCATTAAACCCATGGGTTAAATGGTTAACCCATTAAACCCATTATATATTTAGTTAAAATTAAACTCATTTTGTAACTAATTAAAATTGTTATATTTAGATATATAAAAATTAATATATATATATAGATATTTATATATATACATATACATATATATGTATATAAATTAAATCGAAATATTTGGTGCCGAAAAATTCGATACTACTCCGAATCAAATCATACCGAAAAATTCGGTGTCGTTTTCGCATCAAATCATACCGAAAAATTCGAATCGTATAAAAAAACTCGATACCGTTCCGAATTGAACCGAAAAAATTGGTTTTGTTTCTGAATCGAATTGTATCCAAAACTCGGTGATATTTCCGAATCGAATCATGTCGAAAAATTCGAATCGTATAAAAAACTCGGTATTATTCCGAATCGAATCGTACCGAAAAACTCGGTGTCGTTTTCGCATCAAATCGTGCCGAAAAATTCGAATCGTATAAAAAATTCGATACCGTTCTGAATCGAATCGTATCGAAAAACTCGGTGTCGTTTTCGCATCAAATCGTGCCGAAAAATTCGAATCGTATAAAAAATTCGATACCGTTCTGAATCGAATCGTATCGAAAAACTCGGTGTCGTTTTCGCATTGAATCGTGCCGAAAAATTCGAATCGTATAAAAAACTCGGTACCGTTCTGAATCGAATCGTACCGAAAAACTCGGTGTCGTTTTCGCATTGAATCGTGCCGAAAAATTCGAATCGTATAAAAAACTCGGTACCGTTCTGAATCGAATCGTACCGAAAAACTCGGTGTCGTTTTTGTATCGAATCGTGCCGAAAAATTCGAATCGTGTAAAAAACTCGGTACCGTTCCGAATCGAATCGTACCGAAAAATTCGGTATCGTTCCGAATCGAATCGTATCGAAAAATTTGAATCATACCGGAAAACTCGACACCATTTCTGAAACGAATCGTATTGAAAAATCGGTGTCGTTCTCGAAACGAACCGTTCAAAAAATCTAAACGACAATATTTTTAAAACATCGAATCGAATTTAAAAAATAATAAAAGTATGATTTTTTTAAAGAAATGTATAATTTTTTTTATAAACTATCGAATTTTGTATATATTTTTATTGAATCGATAAACCAAATCGAATATTAAAATGATAATTTCTAGGTTATATGAGTATACATATTAATAGTTATACATATGTATAAGTAATTTGTGAATATATAAATGGGTTTATATGGTTTATACGGGTTTAACGGGTTGACCCAACCCAACCCACTATTATTAGCGGGTCGACCCAATCCAACCAGTTTATCTTTCAAATCCAAATGGGTTGGGCCCAAATGGGTTGGGCCAACCCAATTGACATCACTACTCTCACCGTCCATGGGGACGTTAGTGCGATCTTTCATCGCTACAAACACAATCATATCTCACCCGTATGACATTTGACCCGGATCGACTGCCATACGACTGAGCATCCACTCATCGCATCATCGGAATAACAATCAATAACATACACCTGTCTACAGTCACACGTTAGACAATATGCGAACCCATTCGGTATATTGCTTAATGCCATGCAACCTATCCCAATTCAATACCCTCAATCACAGGCAGTCAGCATTCCAATCATTATTCATGCACACACACATTCTCCATTTATTAATAATTACAAGTCTTGGGTTCATGTAATTGGTCAGATATACTATTTATACATTCGTTATACATTTATTCACATAATTATATACACATAATATCTTTTAGGTATTTTTTCCTTTTTAATACTTTTTAACTTCCAAAACGATTAAATCGTGTTTCGGTTCATTCGAATTATCGACTCCTTTCGTCTCATGGTTTAGGACTTACCGTGAAGTTTAAGGATATGTCGACCTCGACATTTCTTTATTTTGGTTAAGGTTGATAGGGCTCGATCGGGGATTAGTCTCGTTGGATCCGGACTGAACTCCGGACCGTTCCAGATATTTAGGTCGTTTGGTCAGCCCCGGGCCTGTAGAATCCTAGTCCAGCGGATCAAATCTTTTCTTCTTCCTCTTCATTTTCCTTCTAGTCCCCCGGACCCAATTTGATCAGCCAAGGTTGGTCAGCCCTGGACCAAAATCCTGGTCCGACAGACCAAAGTTTTTTTTTGTCCGGTCTGCCCGGACCAACTCCGTCTTCTACCTCTCGACATTTTTTTTCGTCTGAAACTCTCGGTCCGGCGAACCAGTTTCTGGTCAGCCCCGAACCAAATTTCGTAAATTCTTCAAATCACTCAAGACACCTCAAAAATCAATGGGTAATGGCTCAAAATAATCAAAATCAATCAAAGAACAAGAATCAAGCATCAAGCATGCACGAGAAACTCATAAAACTCCGAAATCAATGAAATTGAAATTTTCGACTTAAACCTAATTCACTCACCAACGGTTTCCTCGATGTTCTCTGATGGCTAGGACGTGTTCTAGTCCTCTTTTCTTGCTTTGACACGCTCGGATTCACCACGAATCGAACTCAAGACGCGATAAATCACTCTGTGAAATTTCACAGAGTTCTTGAGAGAGAGAGAGAGAGAGCGTGAGAGAGTGAGGAAGAGAACGAGAGAGTTCAAACTTAACCCCAGAAGAAAAGGGAAAAGAAGCCTGAAAGAGAAGTTTGAGCAAACACGAGGTGGCACAAGGGGGTAAAAACTCGAAGGAGAATGAAGCAGGAGGTGGTGAGCTCAGGTGAAAGGATTTCATCTAAGATGACTCACCCAGGTCCGATCCGGCAAACCAAAATTGGGTCAACTCCGGACCAAAGATTTCTTTGATCCGTCCTTTTTTTCTCTTGGTCCAGCGGTCTCTCTTGGTCAACTGGGTTTGTTCAGTCCCAGACCCATTCTTGGTCCGGCAGACCAAACAGACCAAACACGTTCGGACCAAAATTTTGGTCAGCTCGGTTGGTCAGTCCCGAACCAAATTCTGGTCTGACGGACCAACTTTTTTTTTTCTGGTTATCACAAATGCAAAAGGTTTTTTGTTTTTGAAAATAATGGATGAAATTTTTGGGATGCATCATTAATATATTAAGCGAGGGTGTATGAACGAATGGGATTTGAATTTTTTAATTAGAATCGAATTTCGATATAAAATCTCAATTTCTTTCGACCCACCCATCTAAGATGAATATCAACTGTACGCGTCACATTTTTTATTATATGATATGATACATCATACCAATAAAAAGAAAAATTATGTACGAAAGGAGGTTCAACAAAAAATGATGGACAAATTATAAATTATAGGGAAAATCACATATAAATATCTAAACTTTTACAAAAATCTCACGTAAATATCTGAACTATAAAATTTCTATATAAATATCTGAATTTTTCTAAAATTCTATACAAATACCTAGACTTTTAAAAAACTCTCAAATAAATCCAAAATACGTTAATAATATGATCTACTTTTATTTGAAAATACTTGAAATTTGTATTTATTTAGAAATTTTTTTAAAGTTTATAGATATTTATATAGGATTTTTAAAAGTTAAGGTATTTATATGCAAGTTTTATAATTAAGATATTTATATGAGATTTTTGTAAAAGTGTAAGCATTTATATGTTATTTTCTCCAAATTATATTGCATATATATTGAGAACAATAAAAAAAAAAAATCACACTATATATATTAGGGGTAGGTATTTCGAGATTCGGATAAAAATTTTAGCAGTTCGATCGGGAAACAGTTTATTCGGTATTCTAAATTTGTACTAAATTAATACCGTATATTATTCGATTCGGTTCAATTTTTGGTTTTTCAGGAATTTTAGAAAGTTCGGTTTGGTTTGGTTCAGTTCCAGGAAATTCGATTATATAAAAATCATACCGTTTAGAAATTTTGAACAGTACGGTTCGAGAAAAATACCAAAATTTTCAGTCCAATACGTATGCGTATTGCATATATGTATTGCATATATTTAATAAATCCAAAAACCACAGACTAATATCCCAAAATCCAAATTTCCCATTCAAAAGAAATCCATCAAAGCAAAAAAAAAAAAAACCCAACCATCTCATAAACGTTGAGACAAAACATGATACGCATCACAACTCTTTCGTACTTAATTGTCGAAATGAGACCCATTGGCTTTCAACGCATCGAATATCAGATTTGTCGCCTTACCCGCAAACTTTGTCTTCAGCAATGACAACTCCATTTGAAGAGCTTGGATCTTCTTCCATGTCGCCTCTAGTTTTCTCTTCGTCGATCCTTCCGCCATCTCCCAACCTTCTACCATCGCAAACTCGTCGATCCCGACAACGTTCTTCGCATCCAACAAGGGTATCACGTCTTTGCCTGCGAGAACCCGAGGTTTCCAGTTTTTTCCCTGACCCTTCGTCGATTTGGTCGTCGACTGCATCACTCCATTAGTGCCCCAAATCTTCTTCGACAAGTCGAAAGATTCTTGGTCATGAGCCTTGGAAAACACGCAATCTTCGCCTTTCTTCCCCTTCCATATCGATTTCTCCACCGACTTCTCGAACCTCTTCCTCAGTCTCTTGATCTTATTAGATATCTGAGCTTTGTTCGCCTCAAAGTTCATGTGCTTGTTCACGAATATACAGAACTCGTCCATACAATCGTAAATGTTTCCTACCCGAGACGCGAATTCGAGTATACCTTTTAGCAAAGCGATCTCGTCTTCGTGAGAGAAGATCCTCTCGATCAGCTGCTTCTTGGACGCGTCCGCACTCGATTTTTTACCCTTGTGTTCTTCGGGTTCTTGAACTCCTTTCATCTTTTTTGCCGGGTTTAACTCGTTACCTTTCGCCTCCAACACCGTCATAGGACGTTTCGCTGCGGCTCTTCGCGTTTCCTTAACAACCGAACGAGGTTTCTCCACTTCTCGAGCCTCTACCGCTTGTTTGGCCGCGACAGGTTTCGCAGCATCATGCTTAATTCTCTCGGACTCCGACTCTGATTTCGACTCCGCCTCGGAACCGGACGCACCTTCCGATTCAGACGAGTACTCCTCGTCATCTTCTTCTTCTTCGGTGGACGAAGTGTGCGGATTTTCGACAAGATCCGCACGTCCTGATGACGCCATGGAGCCGGCTTTAGACTCACGAGCTTTTGGTGCCGCCACTAGAACTGTCTCCGCCTCCTTTTGCACGCTGTGGGAGGAATTCTCGGGATGTTTTGGCTCCATTCGCTTCCGGAGGGAAAGATCGTAAAAGTGGGGGTGGCAATAGATTTTTTTTTTTTATAAATATATATAGCAAATGTATTAAAGGCAATATAAATGTAGAGAGAATAAAGGGAAATATATTAATGGCAAACTTATTTTTCCCCATTACAAAAAAAAAAACATTTTTTTCGTGTATAAGACGGAATATATTAACTGCAAATGTATTAAAGGTAATAAAAACTGAAAATAAATAAGAGAATATATATATATATATATATACTGCAAATGTATTAAAGGTAATATAAATGAAAATAAATAAGAGAATATATATATATATATATGTATATATAGATTATGCATGTTCGATTTTGTTAAGGGGGGAGATACATTAATTTCGAGAGTATCTCATAAATCAGCCACAAAAATGTTTATTAGAAAGATACAAAAATTATATTTGGCATGTTGAATATCTGTCCGTGGTTACCGAAGGAAAGTGACATATTAAAGTACGTTCAATATTTGTTAAGGGAACAGTATATTTATTTCGGGAGCATCCAATAAAATCAGCCACGAAAAAAATTTAAATACAGATGAATTTAAATATATATATATATATACCTAATAATAATATATAACTATATTTGAAGTAATTTAAAAAATCAAATTAATATAATTTTTTAAAACTAAATTAATCATATCTTTATCGCGATTATGAAGTTAATAGAACTTTTTAAAATAATAATTAATAAATATTGAATTGGGTACACGTCCCTATGAAATTAAAATCGAAATCAAAGGCTTTCCAAATCTTTTCAGTTTGGAACTCAAACGCTACTTGGCTCTTCCAAGTTCCAACAACTTGGGAAACTATTCTAATATTTTAGATTTCAACACAATCTTTAAATGAGTTGAATTTTATTATCCCAATAAATATACAACTTTTTAATTGTTTAGAGATTCTAATTCTACGTAATACAAATTTAAAAATTTTTAAATCGATTTTATAATTAACCAACCAAACAAATGTCGGCATTTTTTTTATCGAACTTTTTGAATAATTATATATACTAGTCATTATTGCATATATATAATAAAGAAGTATATATACAAGATTCTAAATTAGATTTTTTTAAACAATTATATATATAAGTCATTATCGATAAAAAAATGTCAATCTATAAAATTTCAAACATGTATATATATAATAAAGAAGATTCTAAATTAGATTTATTTTTTATCGATAAAAATTACAATAATTATTTATTGTGTATATATATATATATAAATAATATTTTAATTAGATCAATCTCACATTACAAATCATTATCCTAGTAAAAAAGAAAGAAGATTCTAGATTGATATTACATGTCATATCATTTTGAGACTTCCGAATTTTTAGCTTAAATATTTACTTATTTTAGTTATTTAAAATTATTATATATTGTTTTATACATTATATTAAATTTACTGTATATATTATATACTATTAAGTTTTTTAGTTTAAACATTTACTTATTTTTTTTTATTATAGATATGTAAATTGAAGGAGTGGTCATAATGTTATTTACATAAAATTGTAAATTATATTTTAGTTTCGTAAGGAAAAAAGTGTATAATATATTTACCAAAATGATTAGAGACTGCATATTGACTATGTAAGAAAATGGATCTCAACAAAGTAATCCAATACTTGAGAGTTGGTATTTTTTGTCACACGCGCCACCAACAACATTTTGACTTAGATACGAAGCGGTTTTTTGCATATCTAAATATATGGAATCCTGTATTTTAGTTGTAATGCTTTTGATTGTGTTTTTGTAAACATTTCATTTATTTATACTTATACAATTCATCTTTACAAAAAAAAATGTATCACAAAAATTCACAATATTTGGATGATAATTTTATCTAATCTAATAACATGATCATATATCGATGATAATTGTGACGTCCGAAACCCATGTCCCATCCACGAATTGCGACACATGGACAATCAAACCGTGTCTCAAAATAGCGGGAATTTTAAACAATTTTTATATTAAACATACGCAGCGGAAATATGTATATACATAGCAAACCCATATCTATAGTAGACGTATACAAACCACAACATAAGGGTGGTGAATACGAAATAGTACAAAGCCAATACACACCACTAGCAACAAAAGTAAACCGTACACATCTAGAGAGAAAATATACATGATCCCGGGGGAAAAACGTCACACGTCACCAGTGCCCTCGTCCTGCTGCTGCCAAAACTGTTCCGAGCCTGAAATGTTGCATAACAACGTCCATAAGCTATATGCTTAGTGAATACTTCGGGTTAAACCCGAAGATCATACTCAAATTGCAAATGGCCAAGCACAACTAATATTATACACATACTATATATATACACGATATGTCATATAATGAATCCTAATTTCACCAACAGTAACTCATGTAACAATCACAAACAATCCAGATGACAAGTCATCGGACGTCAACCTTCAAATCGTCTCTATATGCATCACACACATAGGATAGCATACAGATCTGGTATCACCAGTCCAGGACATATACAAATCATAGCTTGACCGATCGGGTCTATCAGTAACACCGATACCGTCAAATCGTCTCTACGGGTGCATCACACGCGTAGATAAGAATTCTCCATGTACAACGCACAATCCCCTCACTCTCCTCGGCCGAAACCGGAATAGTAAAAACACAACAATACAGGCCCAACACTTCATGAAAACATATCACACCAACCATCCCCTCCGATATCGATGTCACCTCTCGATACCAGAGCACCAGGTGCCTCCTCCAAGCCACCACCGACTATGTCGAGCGAAGTCAGTCATCAACTGGCAACCTCTCGCCGGCCATCCGCCATGGAAAAGCTCATCAGACCCGAGCCCAGGTCCTTCAGTGTATTTTCGCATAACCTCGTCGGGAGAATCTCTCAATCCCGAGTCATGGGTAAATGTGTGTCAGTCTCTGCCGGGAATCACTCCCGAACCCGTTCCATAGCATGTGGAACGTCAGCACGGTCACAGAGTAACCGTAAGATTTCCTCAACCCGTGATAGCCGAATCACTCAAGACTACCACGTGCATCATCGGCTCCAAGCTCTGCCCGTAGGCGATCAATCACAATCACGCCTCCTCAATATGAACTCGACCCGGATCGAGGATCATAAAGAGGAGATCTCCAAACAACGCAATCATTGAGCTATAATCTCAACACCCGGCTACAATCACATGCTTGACAATACTCCGGCCCTCCGAAATATTATCTCACGTCATGGCAACTACCCCAAACCCGGCCCAATCACAAGCACTCATACATGAACCTCATTTAAATCATGCATACGCACGTCTTTATTTATAGTTCTGGTATTCATGTTTACCACGTTCATTTTAGTCTTTTATCCGCCGATCCGATCAAATTGGGTTCCGACTATTTCGGATTACCAATTCGAGTCGTTCCGAGGGTTTTACTTACCGTGGAAGGGTTCCGTTCAAGTTCAGTAAAGTTCAGGTAAGAATAAGATCAAGGTCGATCAGGTGTGGGGGTCAGTTGCATCGGATCTCGTTCGATCCAACGATAAGAGCCAAAAGGGGTGAGAGAGACCTGGACTGGACGGTTTGCACAACCTGGACCGAACGGTCCACATGGTCTGGTCCCGACGGTCTGGCAGAGCTGGTCTGAACGGTCTGAGGATTCTGGACCGGACGGTCCAGGTATCAGACCGGATGGTCTGCGTGGTCTGGTCCTGGCGGTCTGGCAGAGCTAGTCCGATCGGTCTGAGGTGTCTGGACCGGACGGTCCAGGTATCCAGACTGGACGGTCTGGACTCATCTTTTTCCTCGAGGCCCTGCAACCCTAGAACGGACGGTTCTGGCCTGGACCGTTCGGTCTCGGTGAACCAGGAACTCCGGGTTCCGTTTTTCGCACCAAATTCAACAATCTGTAGCTCAAAACAATCTAGGAAACTTCAGGAACTCAAATCTAACAATTGCACTCAAAACACACAAATCTCCATTTTCAATTTGATTATCATTTCCGAATTTAATCCGAAACACTCACCTAAGTTGATTTCGAGCTGTGGGTTTTGTTGCTAGTGTTTCCTAGGGTTGATTCCTTAGTTTTTCCGTCGACTTCGACCGAAATCGGAGCTCCAATCGAAGCTTGAATTTTCAAACTCGAGGGGAATCTTTGAGAGAGTGTGAGAGTGAAAGTGTGAGTGTAGGGGACAAGAGTGAAGGGAAAAGTTCGAGCAAGGGCGTGTGAGTTGCATCCGACCAAGCAGGAGGTGTCAAACACCGGTGAATCAAAGGAATTGCGACGGTGACTCAGTAGGGGGGACAGGCGGCGCATGAAAGTCCGATTTCGCCTCATCAGACCGGATGATCTGACCTGTTTCATCCGTTTTTCCTCGCTCGGCTCGATCCAAACCCTTGAATTGGCTCGGCTAGGTTGTTGGTTGTAATGCTCTAGGATGATATGTGATATGACATTTTGACTTTGTATTGATTCATTGGTTTATGAATGCATTACTCTTCCCATTATATGATTGACATGTTTGTTATATTTCGGTATCCTTGAATCATTAGAGAATGATTCTAAACTCCCTGATCAATTGTCATTGTGGGAACAATGATGAATTAAGATCAGCATGAGGTGTGATTGATGATGGTGATGATCATATGCATTGGATGCAAATCACAATCATGGGTACTCGTTTGGAACGAGTGACTGGATGACCTGCATGAGATTGTCATATGGACATGAGTCATGACTTGAATCTCATACAACGGTTCGTTTTTGGATCCTCAGACCTGAGATGTCTAGAGTATCTGATATGAGGAGTGGCGTGTCTTGACTGCGTCAAACGTCGTCTTTAACCGGATGATCATAATGGCGTTGCTCAGATACGTTCACGAATCATATGGAGATAATAGACATGCAATACGAGACTTGTCACCTCCTTAGCAGGAGAGATGTCGCTAGGCCCCTCGTGGAAATCGGACTGT